GTATTTGGGCTGGGAAAAATTTATTTTTATAGTTGATTTTTCTCGCTTTGCGGACGTTTTGGAGGGGGGGGGTCGTATTTGGTCGTTGTTGGGAGGGGGGGGTCGTATTTCTGGCTAGGAATTATGTGGTTCACTTGGTGGATTTTTATGAATTTACTGTGTTATAGCTAGTACCATGTACGTCGCACTGCTTACTACATACCCCCGCTCGACAACTTTTTCGCCGCAGTGTAAACACATACCATGGTAAAAGGCGCATGTCACCATCGGTATGAGCATGGGGGGGGTCGTACCAGCCCTGAAAAAGGGCGGGGGTCGTAAAGCTCGACCATCCCATCGAATGCTTGCCCTGCCACGGGCGTGGTCCAGACGCATTCTTCAGAACCTTTTGAACTGAAGCAACATATCGCTCAAAGGGCCATCCGAGTATCTATGAAATTGGGAACCTCTCTAATTGAGCAGTAGTCTAGTGTCAGCATTTGCTGTCTTTCAAGCCATTAATCGAGAGAGTTCATCGACCGCTTTTCTCATACTTTAGAAAGCCAGGTGTTAGCCCGACTTCCCAGCGAGAAAATAGTTTATGAATTTTTTTCATCCTAGTTTTCAAACAAAAAGGCGGTTAGTTGTTTGCTGGATGTGACGAAAAATCGAGTGTCTTTACCGTTTCCGTAGTCAGTCGAGGTGTCTGAGCAGGAGGGGCGTGATGGCACACCTCTTGCTGCATTTCTTTTGCAGTAGTGATAGTTAGTGATCGATTGAGGAGGTAAAGAACCGCTTGTGAAATATGCTGCATGTGAGTGCATCCTATTCCTCTTATCACCCAGGGCACATCGTGTTTGGGGAATCCCAATAGGGGGGGGTCGTTTTGGCCCCCAGGCAGAGGGGGGGATCTGGTCTGGGCAAAATTGTAATTTGATAGTTTGGTTTTTTCTCGCTACGGATGTTGTAAAGGGGGGGGGATCGTACTTGGTCATTGCTGGGTGGGAGGGGGGTCTTACCAGCCCCAAAAAAGGGGGGGGGTCGTACAGACTCGACTAAAATCCCCAACCAATGATGTGCCCTGTTATCACCGCCTCGACTGTTTGTGGCGACCTCCACTGTATCGGAATGTATTAAAGGCTATCGTGGCGAAAATGGAGATGATAATGTTGTTTGTTAACTTCAGTGACTAGCAGATTCTTTTTCCATGCAGAACCCGAGGTAGTGTTCTTTTCGTCAGATTTGAAGATTGTTTTTGAGTTGTATCCTTTTTGCACTTAACTCACATCATCTGTGTACCGGCAGCTGCTCGAGCTTCTAGAGCCATCTCTGCTACCTTGCGACATTTTGGAGTAGCCCGTGACCCGTTTACGTTTTAGTGACATTACTTGCTCGATGGTTCATGTCTTTCATAAAAGGCTTTCCAACCAAATCTGGCCTTAAAGCTGGCACTTGCTCGAGCACCTCCGACGAGCTCCTTTTAAAGCTGAGAAACTTGTGCGAATGTCCACACGACAAAGCCACTGGGTACACACGACCATAAGCTGAACATCCTACAAAAGCGCCCCACAAAATGGTCATATGGGTTTCCTTACACTCGCACGTTGTAAATTTCTAACCAGGGCACAGCATTCGATGGGGAGTCTTGTAAGGCCCATAGGACCCCCTTTTTGGGGGTTCGCGGTACGACCCCCCCTATACCATAAACTTATGAAGTTTCTTCCCCCTCCCCCCGAGGAGGAAGAAACTTCATAAGTTTATGTATAAGTAAGCGCGAAAAATGGAAAAAGTAACAATCCTGAATGAGGCCCCCCTCGCTTTCTGCTCATTTCTATCCTAATTCAGAAAAGAAGCTCATTAGGTTCCATCCACGCTCCGGTCAAAAACAAACTCTGGTACCTGAATCAATTGCAATTAAAGAAAAAAAACAGGAAATTAAGCCAACTTCTCCTAAAAGCACTTTGAGCGGTCCAAGCAAAATTGCTTGGGCGCGCTCTGACGCGTATTCGAGTAAACTGATAAGAAGATAAATATTCGATATTCGAATAAACCGAGAAGAAGTTAAATACGAAAGAGTAAATACGAACGAGAGCAAACCAGACACAATCAGCTGATTAAGGCCGAGGTACCGGGGAAGGGATTCTGGGCAGGACCAGCCATGTGGAACGCGAGTTTTCAGCAAAGTGGGGTGTTTTGAAGGACCATAACTTCCTCAAAAGCGGACCTGTGGGGAAGAGGAGAGGTATTCGTGTGAGAGAAGGTTCTGCACTTACCAAAAAAGTGGCTGGAACTTTTGTGAAGGCCCAAAGACTCACAGAGAGTATCATGGGGATTCGATGGGGATTTTTTTTCAGGAACAGGTTTGAATCAATATATTTTTTTGTAACTCAACATTTCACAAATCTGAGAACGGATTCGAGTGTATGAAGACTTGCTCTTTCTAAAAACCTATTGAACTGTTTCTGAAGTCCTCGGGATTCATGAGATCTGGCGATGGGGATTTCTTGAGGAACACTCCCAGCTGCGCGAAAAACCCGTTTCCTGTGTACCGTTTCAAGTGAGCGTGTTCGAATAACCAGGAACGCATGAAAAACTCCTGTGGTGGAGCAGGAGCAGAATATTGTTTCGTTTAGCGCCGATCACGATCTGACTTTGCGGATGCGCGCGCACGTGAAGTCGGCGCAGAAGTGATGGATGTGTAACTTGCTGCTGTATGTCGTCAGCGAGCAAAATGTGTATACCGGTTTTTAGGGAGGTCCATGCGCATGTGCACTTGTTGTAGAGTGTTTGTTTCCTTGCGTATGAATGGATACATGTCCCTTGTCCGAGCATGCAGCTCTCGAGCTCGGCGCCAATTGCTGACTCCGATAAAGGAGACCAACTGCTGGAAAACGCCTATACGAACGATATGGTAGTCCTGTCGCTTGTCGAGAAAAAAAAAACAGGTTGGCTCAGCGCCAAGCGCGACCGCGGCACGCCATATCATTGGCAGCGAACCAGAGTTTGAGTTGTACTGTTTAGTCACCAACGGACCTACGAGATGATGTCGACTTATTAATATTTGCAGTTATTTCGGATTAGTTTGATGAATGAAAGTTTTGTACTATTTTTTTGCATATCCGAGTTCTCTACAAAGCAAGTTTCGCTGTACAGAGGATCAGAACATTGACATTTGGTGCTGGCTGCGTTACTTGCCACTCCTACGAACCCCCCCTGGCGGCCAAGATACGAATCCCCCTGTTGGGCGATTCCCCAGCCAACGTTGTGCCGCTGCCTTCTAACAGCTGTCTGTATTAATGGTAAGTGAAGAGCGAGCTGTGCATTCAAACGTCGCCGATTCTACATGACGCCCCTTTTTTTCGCCTCGAGTTCCGCCGTTCGAATTGAGATGCGAAATCTGTTGCTTTTTCCTTCTCCTCTTTGTTGCGAAATTTTGAGTAATTTTAGAAAATGGACAAAAAGCTCAAATGATTATCCAGAAAGCGCGACGGTGAATGCGGATCTATGGATTCCTGACGATTCAGGCAGAATGGGGTGAACGTGAGGCAGCGTTCTATAATATGTACCTAGGTTTACGCCTGAATCGCCTAATGTCTCTGTTTGCCGCGCTCTTGACTAGGTCCATGGGCACTCCTTTATCTAGCGGCGAGATATGGACGACTGCTTCTGAGTAGCAAACGTTGAGATATGAAAAATTATTAATACCAATCTTCTCTCGCTGTACTAGAATAGTGTAAGTACCGAACGCGTGAGGTCTCTTGCGCCTTTGAAGGCACGGTTCGTGGTAGCAAAAGTGATTGATGGTGTTGAAAAGTGGCGGAGAAGTTGCCACGGGACTCGTCACTAAAGAGAAAGGGCAAAAGGGAACGTCGGAAGCATGTCCAGTAAAGTCTTTCTTGCCCCAAGCAATTGCACAAGTAGTGAAACATAGAGCTTCAGAGCGAATTCAATCAGCTGATTCCTTATCTTGAGCCCTACAATCGCGCAAACGACCATGGAGCTTACGTTTGACTCTGTGGTTTTCGCTCGTAGGAGGGCTCTGAAGGCAGAGTTTGGAGGCGGAGTCGGTGGGCGGTGCTTGTGGAACATTTTTGCACTCCAGTCACTTTACCTTACACCTTTCTGCCGATGAAATAGTACAAGGTTGTCCACTCCACGACGGACCACACCCCCCTTATGCTGCCCTTTTCCTTTTCGTAGACCATCGTGAACCGTTAATTCAAGAATATCAAGCTCATGTGGAGCCTCGTACTGGCTTGAATAAAAAACGGCGCAGTTCGGCGAAGGGAGGGTTGCATTTTGCACATTCACTGCTTTACTTGTTCCGATTACAAGTTTCCTCTGATGAAACCTGTGAGCTCCTGTGAAGTGGAGCAAGATGGTCTGGCCACCATGGTAAAACCTGTCCACTCTTGTAAGCTCGTAAGTGACTCTCTCGATGGGTTAAGTCGTCGATGAGGAGTAGCGGAAGTGCAAAATGCCCCCCTCCGCACTGAACTGTCCCTAAAAAATTGCAAAAAGTTCTCCAGATGAAATATTCAGACAAGTCGAGTGCAATAAATTTTTATATCCATAAAAGGACTAGATAATGTGGCACGCACACGCAAACGAAGTACAACGATATTCTCTATTAAGTCACACCTAATATGTACAAAAAGCTTCTGATGAAGAGATAGAAAACGTCAAACAACATTGATTATCGATCAGTCGAACAAAGTTATTGGTAATCGATCAAAGTCTAGCTGAGGGGGGATGATGATGACAACGGTTTATTCATCACGACACTGAGATAATTAGTGTCCGGATAACTATACTACTTCATGGATCCCTGATGAACTCATTCGAGGCTCGATAGGCATAAAGAGAAATTCCCGTAATATGACTGCGTGAGACTGCTGGCGACCTCCGTTTTTTCCCTCTTCACTCGGAGAACGGCAGAGGGTGGGAGGCAGTCGGCGACAGCAGCAAATAATAAGTAGTAAAAACTGGTCCGAATGGCACTTCACGCAATAACGGTGACGCTAGAAAACTCCATAGTTTTTCGTGCTTTGAGCGGCCCGTTTCAGGTCATTGGCGAGTTGATCAACCTCCCGCGGATCCACTCGATGGCCGTGGTCTGACCGTGTCACGGAACGGATCGACCGAGTCGATTTCGTCTGAAAGCAGTCACAATTACTTGTTACTTATTGAATGGGAATTACTTCTTACTTATTGAGCTGCGACAGTTGTATCAATGGGAGACGGAGTAACCACTTGGGATCGGAAAACTTTCAAAGTATACAGGTTGACCACAACTCACGGAAGAAGAGAGCTGCGAACAAGTTTCAGTGTGTACCGTAGGTTGTTTTGAATTGAATTTGAATGTTTTGTTTTGAGAGTTTTTCAGTGAAGTAAAGAAACAACCAAAAATAGGTGTGAACTGGTGGAAATTAACGAAGCCTGATTATGCATTCCTGTATGGACTGACTCAAAAGCAATTCGCGCTGAGCGGGGTGGCGGAATAGTTCAATTCGGGATCCTTAATTGCGTATCAGTTCTATGAGGATGAGCAGGAGGGATGATGAGTTAAGTACAGTTAAGTACAAAACGTAGCAGAAGTTATAAAAGTAAGTATGAAGTGAATGTCTGAAGTCTCAACAAGCAAACTCACTCTCTGCATGGTATTGTATTCAGAAGTGGGTCGTGAAGTTCTAGTGCTCATCACCGGCACAACACGCTCTCCTGTTATCCATTCATGACGGGCAGCATCTACGGCACTCAAACGTTCCGCTGCATTCGTCTCGAGAAGACAGTCGACAAACTGCTTGGCTGATTCTGATCCGGACCAGAACTGTAATCGTGACTCATTGCAGGCAATTTGTGTATTTACAGTTGACATCGTCCAATCCGTCGGGACGGTGCCAGGAGGCGTGGAATCAGCCCACTGCAACTGCGCTGTTTACCAATGGTGGCCGCGTTCAGGTAGAAAACAACCAGTGGTAGAAACGTCGCGGTCGGTCTCATTCCACGCCTCCTGACATCGCGCCTCCGGATTGCGACGACATCGACGGTAATTTGGGCACATCCAGCCAGAGAGGACGCAAATAGTAATAAGAAATATAAATAGAACAAGATAGAAACAGGATGCTAACCTGAGGATAATAGACATAATTGGCAGTGATGATATGTGTGTAGAGCCGAGAACGACAATCATCGTCGAAAGGCATAATACCAGACATCAGAATGTACGCGATCACACCCACAGCCCACATGTCAACCTAAAATGTTCAGTTCTGAGGAAATTACAGTCTGTATCACCATAATCAGTCTGGTTGGTTTGAGAAGGGTGTAAT